ATCACAAATCTTTCACGATCGTTTTAAATATCGTAAGTGTGAGTTAGGTCCCTGACCACCTCCCCTTCTGATCCGAGCAGAATGTCTAACTTTGACAGGAGACCTGAGTAATCTGATTGATTGAACTGAATATGTACTTAGCTTGCCAAATAGGCCGCATATTCTGTTGATCATAAGCCTTTTGTGATGGGAGGGAATCAGAAATCTGATGACCAGAAAAAGGAAGCATCTTCATTTTGTTGTTAGAATAAAAATTTATTTGATGTACATTTATTTTTGTCTACAAAGATTCTTAAAGTCAAGGTGGGACCTTCTTTGAACCCTTCATAGCCCTTGTGTAAGTAGCTATACTTGATTGGGAGTGCAGGCTTCCGTGTGAGAGAGGAAAAGGTGACTTGTCGTGAGCCTTTTGTTTTCAAGCAGTGTATATGGGGATGACCCCACAGTTTTGAAATTCTCCCTGGTATAAACTTTTTTTTTTTGAGACACAATCCTGCTCTGTTGCCCAGGTTAGAATGCAGTGGCGTAATCTCCACTAGCTGCAGCTTCTGCCTTCTGAGTTTAAGCGATTTACTGCTGACTAGCTGGGATCAACAGGTGTGCGCCACCACGCCCGGCTTGTATTTTAGTTAGAGACAGGGTTTCACCATGTTGGCTAAGCTGGTCCAGAATTCCTGACTTCAAGTGATCCACTTGCCTCAGCCTTCCAAAGTGCTGGGATTACAGGCCTGAGCCACCATGCCCAGCCTTGTTTTTTTTTCTTCATTTTTCTCACTTTTTTTCCCCCCAAGACAGTCTTGCTCTGCTGCACAGACTGAAGTGCAGTGGCATGATCTTGGCTCACTTCAGCCTCCATCTCCCAGGTTCAAGTGATTCTTACACCTCAGCCTTGGAGTAGCTGGGACTACAGGCGTGCACCATCACACCCAGCTAATTTTTGTTTTGTGTTTTTGAGATGGAGTTTCACTCTTGTTGTCCAAGCTGGAGGACAGTGGGGCAATCTCGGTTCACTGCAGCCTCCACCTCATGGGTTCAAGTGATTCTCCTGCCTCAGCCTCCCCAGTAGCTTGGATTACAGGCTCCTGCTACAGCGCCTGGCTAATTTTTTGTATTTTTAGTAGGTATGGGTTTCACCCTCTTGGCTAGGCTAGTCTTGAACTCCTGACCTCGTGATCCACCGGCCTTGGCCTCCCAAAGTGCTGGGATTACAGGCGTACAGGCGTGAGCCACCATGCCCCGGCCCCCAGCCAGATTATTCTTAAAATGTACTTGTTCTCCCTTGAATATTACCATCCTTGTGTCTCCTTTTTCACTTCAGTCCAAAAAAAAATTTATTTTTTAACCTTCAAAGTCATAACCTGTGTTAGGGTTAGATTTAGGGTATGACCCTGGCCTTGTGGCTAGATAGTTTGATTTGGGCTTTGTCCCCATAGTGTCTCCTACCCACTTCTTGGAATAGGAGAGCATCGCACATTAAACAGTCACTGATCCCAAGCTCTGCGCCTAGGTATTTGGGAGAGCTTTGAAGATAAAACACCTGATCTCTGGCTTCCCAGAACTCAGTCTTGAGAAATGCAGTCAGTTAGTTGGAATGGTTAGTTGCAACTAAGTGTTAACTATTAGGATACTAACTGAATTTACAATAGAGCATTTAGAAATGTGGGAGATCAAAGTGTGCTGAAGATACAGGAAGTGGCTTCATTTTAAAGGTCAAGTTTCTGTTACTAGAAGCCACTGTGGATGGGAGGGCAGGGCAGGATGCCACTGTATAAAGCTGGGCATGTATACAGTATGTGGGGAATCTTGGAGTAAGACTGAAAAAATGTGGAAAACTGGACCACATTATAGAGGACTTTAGAGCCAAGTAGAAGCACTGTTTATCATTACTAATAATTGCCACCATTTATTGGACATTTAAATAACAGGCACTGTGTGAAGTATGTTACATGCATTTAAAGAACTGATATGTTCAAGGTAGGATGGTGAGAGAGGTAGGATTTGTACCTAAGTCTTGTCAAATTACTACATTCTGTGCTCTTTTTACGTAATACTGTGCAGGATTTAGTAGTTAGAAAGTTTGGAACTGTTATTGAGCAGGGAGTGGCGGAAGTGATTTGGGAACAGCATTGTCCTAGAACTGCCATAATGAGCCACTAGCCACATATAGTTACCAGCATTTAAATTAATTAAATGTAAATAAAAATAAAATTTTATTTTCTTAATCATATTTCAAGTGTTTAATAGCGGTTCATCACAGAAAATGTTATTGGCCAGTGCTTCTCTAGATCACTGGTTCTTAACTAATAGTATACACCAGACTCATTCAAGGACCTTAAGGAGGTTGGAGAAGAGCACAAGCCCTTTCAGACCCAGTAAATTGCAATCTCTAGGGAGAGGCCTAGTCATTTATGAAGCTTCACAGAAAATTCTAATCTGCAGCCCTAGTTAATAGCTGCTGCACTAAAAGCTCTATAGTAACCATGGTAATGACTGCCCCTCATGTTGTGGGGAGATCTAGACTGACAGAGATACCCAAAGCAGACTGGTCTCTTTGTTCAGCAAACATAGTCTCTCCAGTTGGGAGGCCACATGGACAGCAGCTGCAGTCTGGGATGAGATGAGGACCTCAGTGTGATACGTGGCATGATATGGCCATGTAAGCCCCCAAGCTCTTTACAGGAGAGAATGGTGATGTTTTGGCTCCATTGCCAGGTGTACTAGGGAGGACCATATGCTATTAATTGTTGGTAAATTCAAACTTTCTAAGTAATCTTAAAATCTATGTAGCTCTAAAATTATGATTGGGAACTTATTGGAGCTTCTGATATAGATGTAAGACTTGGGCAAAAATTGTTGAGTTAGGATTGTTGGAAACAGTGATAATACTGACCACGTAGTAGTGATTTGGGACAGTTTCACTACGATTTTGTACAGTTTAGAAACATGGAGCAGGAGTATTCCCATCATTGCTAACCAGTTTAGCTGAGATTTCACCTATAGTCTAAGAGATAACTCTGCTTCTCTTTTTTCCTTTTGATATTCAGAACAGCCCCTGTGGTTTATTGTTTTATTCATTTACCTTCATGAAAGCTCTACTTCTATAAAATGCTTAATAATGCTATTAAAAAAATAAAAAAACCACCTACAGAGAACCAGTTGTTTAGCTGTCCCCTTCCTTTATTTTGGAGGTTTTGTTGTTGTTTTAAGGTCTTACACATCTTAAATTATAGAACAGCTTATCATTGAATAATAGAACTGGGAGGAACCCTAAGGATAACCTAGACCAGTCCTGGGAGGTGGGTTCCAGCAGTCTGTTTTAACAAGCCTTTCAGGTGATTTTGATGCATGAAATCAATGAACAACTGAACTTCATTTGACAGTTAATGATAGGCCTAGAGTATCAGTATCTACTTTACCCCCAATGTAAGATCCAGTTTTTGTTTTTTTTCCAACATGGCATTTTGCGCTTGTTGCCCAGGCTGGAGTGCAGTGGTATGATCTCGGCTCACTGCAAACTCTGCCTACCAAGTTCAAGCGATTGTCCTGCCTCAGCTTTCCCAGTAGCTGGGATTACAGGCACATGCCACCATTTTTTGCATTTTTAATTTTTTTTTAATTTTAGACGGAGTCTCACTCTGTCACCCAGGCTATGGTGCAGTGGCACGATCTCGGCTTACTGCAACCTCAGCCTCCTGGGTTCAAGCAATTCTGCTTCAGCCTGCCAAGTAGCTGGGACTACAGGCATGCCTCACCATGCCTGTATTTTTATTAGAATTTATTAGTTTTGTATTTTTATTAGAGATAGGGTTTCACTCTGTTAGCCAGGACGGTCTTGATCTCCAGACCTCGTGATCTACCCACCTCAGCCTCCCAAAGTGCTGGGATTACAGGCATGAGCCACCGCGCCGGGCAAATTTTGCATTTTTAGTAGAGATGGAGTTTCTCCATGTTGGTCAGGCTGGTCTTGAACTCCCAACCTCAAGTGATCCAGCTGCCTTGGCCTCCAAAAGAGCTGGGATTACAGGAAGATCCAGTTTTAAAGTTTTATATCAGACCCATGCTATGGTTCATCTTGTGTGTATCTAAAAGGTGCTTAGAGAAACTCTCCCCCCACCACTACTACCAAAGATATAGGTAGATATTTCTGGCAGGGGAAAGTGCTTTGGAGTGCCAGTAGGATAAAGGCATATCAAAAAGTGAATTGAGCTGACTGAACCTGTTGCTCCACAAAGAGCTGGAAAGCTATTTGTATCAAATACCTGTGAATTGAACTTTGAGCTTTCATTACTGTTGTTAGCTATACCTCTCTTCTTGTTTTTTTTAACTTCCCTGACAGCCTACCATTGAATCTTCTTGTGTCTCAAAGAGACAAAAGTTCTGTCCTCCTCATATGTTTAAACTCTTGAATATTAAAGGAAATGAGCTTTTCAGTTGAGATGCACAAGGCTCTTAATTCAGTTACTGTTCTCTTAACTACTGTCACTTAGCTTCTTTGCTTATTTGGAAGAATGCATAAATTAAACTGTGCCATAGTGCAAACAAGCTATAGATGTGTAAGGAAAGTTTCCATCATTGGAAGAATAGAAACATCTAGATATTTGTGTATTTATTTGAATTCCCAGGCATAATATTGAAACATCAGTTTTGGTGTTTAACAAGGTGATGGCAGTGCATAGCAGCACTGTTTTCTACCAACTGAAAGGCCTTTGTTTGCACCTGGCCTGTCCCTTGGATCTCAAGCAGTACCACAGTTACAAAGTAGTTTTTAGCTTGCAAGGTGTTTTCACAAATAGGTGATATTTTCATTTTTCAAATGACAAAATCAGGGTTCTGAGGCAGGTCAGTTGACTTAAAGGTTACTAGGTCGGTCTCATCGCTCTTTCAAAGTAACTGGATTTCTTTGTAGCATACAGACTCAAAAAACCTGTATACTTGGATTGTATATTCAGTGGCCAGAGGCTGTCAAAGCTCAGGTTAATGAAATGCTCTTTATTTTGTAGCCATCCAGTCCAATGGATCAGATGGGCAAGATGAGACCTCAGCCATATGGCGGGACTAACCCATACTCGCAGCAACAGGGACCTCCGTCAGGACCGCAGCAAGGACATGGGTACCCAGGGCAGCCATATGGGTCCCAGACCCCGCAGCGGTACCCGATGACCATGCAGGGCCGGGCGCAGAGTGCCATGGGCGGCCTCTCTTATACACAGCAGGTAGATGGTGATTCTGATTACCTTGACCCTTGTTGCTGTCCAAAATCTAGTCTATGAGCTATAGAATCAGAGTGTATCCTTGGCTTCCAAGCCTCTTGACAGGAACGTAGACCATTTGGCTCAGTTAATTACAGTGTGCTACTAACAAAGCCACTGCTGTGGGTACCATCCCATGTGTGCTCCAAGGAAAGCTACTCCCTGGTCACAGGTACATATCTCTTTTTCTCTTGATCTGACTGGCCAGCTTATACCTAGTGAGTGGTGAACTCTGAATGAGGTGGGATGAAAGGCAGTGGCTGAACACCTAGGCACTTCTACTACTAAGAAAACTGTTCATACCATGTGCCCTGTGGATAGAAGAGGCCCTTTATGTTTCTGAAGGCCTTTAGCATATCTGCCATCTGGTTCAAAATGAATGTTACTGGGGGTAGAAGAAAAGGGGAAGATTGAACAGAAAAGATGTTAACCTCATTGTTACAAATGTTAAGATTTCCCCTTATCCATCTCCTTTTGTCGGACCATTCACATCATTATCTCTTTATTGCCATTCTTTGTGTTGACAAAGTTTTCTGCCATTCATATTTGAATGTTACTCACACTGAAAATAGTGAGGGAGAGAATATAAAATCAAATTTTACTTCTAAGACTTTAAAGTATGCCCTTTAATATAGAAAATTGTCTCTTCGTTTAATAGAGGAGAGATGAGGTAATATTTCGTTTGTTTTTTTTGCCTGCTTACTAAATATATCCCCAGTGCCTAAAATAGTGCCTGGTACAAGTAATTGAGTAGGCTCTCAAATATTTTTTTGAATGAAGACTAAATGAAAGAGAGAACCGAAGTAGCTTAGTGATTTATACAGTCTGAATTACTAAACCTTAGGTTTTCAGCTGGCTGAACCAGGCTGCTGTTGACTATTCATTGTGGTTAGGTTACAGATTCCTAACACTTATAAAAACAGTCTAGGCTGTGACAAAAAGAGTAGGCTCATTTGTAGAAACAGCTGCTCTTAAACTCATGTTAGTTGCCCAGATGGTAAATAGTGTAAATTTTCAGTGGATGAATGTGTAGTCCACTTGTAAACAAACCACCTAAAAACCCAGCTTGGCCATCTTCCTTGGCTCAGTTTAGGCAGGGATGAGAGAAAAACCTTGGGCCTCCTAAGTATAGGGCCTGGCATGCTTACTTTCTATACTCATCCTTAGCATGTAGCTCTGACAAAACACTTCATGTTTCCTCATTCAGGCGAGACAGTACTAAAAGTATTTTTTTCCTTTCCTACAGATTCCTCCTTATGGACAACAAGGCCCCAGTGGGTATGGTCAACAGGGCCAGACTCCATATTACAACCAGCAAAGTCCTCACCCTCAGCAGCAGCAGCCACCCTACTCCCAGCAACCACCATCCCAGACCCCTCATGGCCAACCTTCATATCAGCAGCAGCCGCAGTCTCAGCCACCACAGCTCCAGCCCTCTCAGCCTCCATATTCCCAGCAGCCATCCCAGCCTCCACATCAGCAGTCCCCGACTCCATACCCCTCCCAGCAGTCCACGACACAGCAGCACCCCCAGAGCCAGCCCCCCTACTCACAGCCACAGGCTCAGTCTCCCTACCAGCAGCAGCAACCTCAGCAGCCAGCACCCTCGTCGCTCTCCCAGCAGGCTGCATATCCTCAGCCCCAGTCTCAGCAGTCCCAGCAAACTGCCTATTCCCAGCAGCGCTTCCCTCCGCCACAGGTAAGATATCGCTGCCTCCTGCCCTTCCCTGTGTGTGACCATGAGAACTTTGCCATACAAAGTGGTTCTCTAACTTGCACTTAAAGACCAATTAAACTCTGAGTAAACATGCTAACTGGATTGATTGAACTAATAAAGGCATAACCTTCTTAACTACATAAAGACCTATAGCTCTTCTTAATGATGAAGAAATAGGGCAATGGAAAGTTTCATAGATGGATAAGAAATTAAAGATAATGAGACTGGTTTTTTTTGTTGTTTTTTGTTAAATCAGTATCAGAACTTGAGCATCCAAGTGAGTTGTCTTTTTTCAAAACAGTCACTTTGAGAGGCAGTACCGTACATTCAGTCCATTTGCCATTCCATTCTGCTATCACTCAAAATACTTGGATCCCTTCCTTTGGAATTGCCACCAGAACTGATATCACATTCTTTAGCATATTCTCAGTGGTGGCAAATCTTATTTTTTGAGGGTGGATTTGATTTGGGGAAATACCAAAAATTCATTTGGAGTTATGTCTGGTGAACAAGACATAGGTAATAGAGCCTAAAATAGCATTCAGGGCTTTATTCTTTATAGAACCCAAAGAAGAAAAATGACTGAGTGATGACAGGTCCACTAAAAAGTTTATGTATTGGTGGCATTGTTGGAATAAGTATCTCAAGGTGATGTCTTTGAAGGAAGCAGTACTCATTTTAATGCAGAGGTTCTAGCATGATTTTTATGGTTTCATTGGTCTCATTCCTTGATAGATTTAACTTGAAGTTGACCAGACATTAGCATTTAACCCCGAAAAATAGCCCTCTGTAGGTAGCAATAAATGGGTGACAGTTCTATCAGAAAGAGTCCACTATTGATCATCTTTAGAGCCATGACTTGGATTTTTCTGGTCTTCAGATACTATTATTTGCAATTGGGCTTTCACTCACACTCATGAGAAACAGTCCAATAAGCTTTCACCATGAAGTAAGCTTGCCTGGTTTATCAATACCAGGCCATCACAGCTTTTGTTTTTCTTGTTGTAGGAGCTATCTCAAGATTCATTTGGGTCTCAGGCATCCTCAGCCCCCTCGATGACCTCCAGTAAGGGAGGGCAAGAAGATATGAACCTGAGCCTTCAGTCAAGACCCTCCAGCTTGCCTGTGAGTATTTCTGCACCTTCTGAAAGGTGATGGGGCAGAGAGGAAACAAAAACAAACTAGTTTCTGGTTGGAAGTTTTGGTAATTTTGATCTAAATGAATAAGTTGTTTCTTGAATTCAGGAAGCTTAAAGGTTGATTTGTAGATCTCTATTCTGTCTACCTGCCCAGGGAATAGGCTTGTGTTCTGTTTAGTTTGTTTTTTTAAATCTTGGGCTTTTAGACATGGACCCACATGAGGGGCAGAGAAGATGGAGATACTAGAAGCACTGTCTGCTCTATATCAAAGTTGAGAAAAGTATCAGTCTCTTGACTTTACTCTTAAGGGCTTAATTTTTAGGTTTTTGGCTTAATGTTTTAGCCACAAGGTAGGATCCTGGGGCAATTCAGCATGCATTGTCACATGGCTGGAGTAAAAGCAGTTTTTCTGATGGTGGTTTTTGCGTGAATAGGTGTTTTTTGTTTTCGAAGTATAGTACTTGGTGCCCAGGTGCTTAATTATGGAATTAGGTACTTATTTATGGAGTGGACTGACCATATCCTGAGAAAGGCAGTATAGTCTAGTGATTAAGCTCCTGGCTCTAGATACTGCCACTAACTGTTTCATGGGGGTGATGGTGAACATTAAATAGGTTAATAGAGAGCACACACGAGTACTGGCACATTGTAGGCACTCTGTAATTGTCAGCCTTTGTATTCATCGCCTCAGAGGGCATTAGGACTGTGCTTCATATCTGAAAGGCAGTTAACACCAACTAGGTGGTTCTAGGAACCTTTACTGTTAGTCTTAGCTCTGTGGGCAAGTTACTCAGCCTCTGAAAGTTAATCTGCTGGGCACAGAAATAAAATAGGATACTCTGAAATCTCTAGTCATCTAGTAAGTTGGTGGATAGCAAACTCACCATGACAAATCCTGCTTCACTTAGGAAATGGAAATTCAGCCACATACCCAGATAAGAATCTTTTGGAATTTTGACTCTACCTGGATTTAAAGCCTGTGTCTTCATTTATTCTGACCTGGGAGAAATGGTTTTAGGATCTCTTAAGAAATAGGCAGAAGGCAGGAACTCTTTCATCATGAAGCCTCCCAATGGATTCCCCTGAAGGTCTCTGAGACACCTCAGTAGGGCAAGGTCTGCAGAGTCTGTTAGTATCTGTTCAGGCTTCTGAGGCCAAAATGAAGAGCCACTTTCAGATAGTACGTCTGAGACTGTTGACTTTCTCAACTGAGGAATTGGGGGGAAGGAAGTGCCTTAATAAAGTGATCACTCTTTGTTCCCTTCTCATTAGTGTCTGTTGCAATCCTTTTCTGCATCCTGAACTTCATTGGAATGTGCTTTTTAACCTGATTCAGTCAGAATGTGTAACCACTCCCTCATCATCTGTGGTCTGTGGCTAAATCTGGGTGAGGTGCTATTGTGTCAAGAACCCAAATCGGTGGATTTCTGTCAGTGCTGTAAGTTGCTTCGTTCCAAAAAGTTTTTGCTTGCTTCTGGTGACCTTTTGATAGATCTGTATTTGGTGTTTTTTTTGTTTTTGTTTTTGTTTTGTTTTGTTTTGTTTGGTCCCAAGAAGGCTTGTATCCAGAGATGCTGCATGTTTTATAAGGGTTGGGAATCTTACTGATCTGACCCACTGAAGTGAAGGTGAAGGTGTTGGCAGCCTTTTAGGCCCAGAGGAGGGTTGTTCCTGGGAAGCCTATCGCAAGGAACATTCCCAGGTTCGGACTTCTTCTAAAGATTCATCCAAATGGGTCATTTGCTCAATGTGGTAGAAGCTCCATGTGGGAGGTAAGCTGGCTGGGTTATTGGCGTCTTGTTTTTTGAATTGGTTTTTATCCCTCTCCTACTTGGACAGGAATCAAAAAGTGGTTATTCTTTGAAATTTTGGTTTGATGCCAGATTTCCCTACCCAGGCTAGGAAACAGCTTTATCTGAAGAAATCAGAAGTTGGATTCCCTACTAGAGCCCTCTCCTTTCTTAACCAGTTGTGTTAAAGGATCCCTAGGTTTGCCAGTGCATCCCTTCACTAAAAAAAATGTTTATGAGTTACCTATTGGCACCAGAGCAGATTCCAGGCTGGCTGGAGAGCAGCCCCTCATATTTCACATTGTCCTCCCTATTCACGTTACCTCCCTGGCCCTAAATGCCTTATGATTGTGACCCTTGAATATTACAAAAATTAAATTTTGAGGAGTCTGTGCTCAGCTATTGATGCCAAGCCATTTAGTTGCTATTATCCGTATCATGTTATCCCTATATTTAAACCTCTCTATTATTTTTTATTAATCTTAGAATAAAATCTAGAATCTCTTTGCTTTTGTCACCCAGGCTGGAGTGCAGTGGTGCAGTCTTGGCTCACTGCAGCCTCCACCTCCTGGGTTCAAGTGATTCTCCTGCCTCAGCCTCCTGAGTAACTGGTTTACAGGTGCCTGCCACCACATCCAGTTAATTTTTGTATTTTTAGTAGAGATGGTGTTTTACCATGTTGGCCAGGCTGGTCTTGAACTCCTGACCTCAGGTGATATACCTGCCTTAGCCTCCCGAAGTGCTAGAATTATAGGCGTGAGTCACTGCACCTGGCCTAAAGTCCAGAATCTTTAATGTTAGGCACCAGAAACACAGATTCCTATTCCCTCCCAGCTCCCATCCCTTGCGTTTTTCTCATTCAGTAAGTCTGGAGTAGGGCCCTAAAATGTGCATTTCTAACAAGTTCCTCTGTGATTCTGTTGATGCTAGACCAGGGATGGCACTTTGAGAACCTCTACTTTGTCCTTTTTCTTTGCCTTACTCTTGGCTTTCTTTCATTTTCATTTTCTCTAAGGCACACCATATGCTTTTTTTTTTTTTTCTTTCACATCTTTGCATACACCCTTCCCTTTACCTCATGCTTTTCCCCTTAACTCCCCCTGTTCATGTTTCAGACTATATCTTAAAGATTATTTCTTCAGAAAACTGCCTAATCAGGCTTCAAGATGAAGCTTAAATGACTTCATTAACTAAAGGCAGTTTTTATCTTAACCTTAAAAAAAAAAGGCCAGGTGCAGTGACTCACACCTGTAATCCCAGCACTTTGGAAGGCTGAGGCCGGCAGATCACCTGAGGTTGGGAGTTTGAGACTAGCCTCACCAATATGGAGAAACCCCCATCTCTACTAAAAATATAAAATTAGGGCTGGGCACGGTGGCTCACACCTGTAATCCCAGTACTTTGGGAGGCTGCGGGTGGATTGCCTGAGGTCAGGAGTTCAAGACCAGCCTGATCAACACGGAGAAACCCTGTCTTACTAAAAATACAAAATGAGCCGGGCATGGTGGCTTATGCCTGTAACCCCAGCTACTTGAGAGGCTGAGGCAGGAGAATTGCCTTGAATCCGGAAGGCGGAGGTTGCAGTGAGCTGAGATCATGCCATTGCACTCCAGCCTGGTGACAGAGTGAGACTCCAGTCTCAAAAAAAAAATTTAGCAGGGCCTGGTGGTGCATGCCGGTAATTCCAGCTGTTCAGGAGGCTGGGGCAGGAGAATCACTTGAACCTGTGCGGTGGAGGTTGCAGTGAGCCGAGATCACACCATTGCACTCCAGTCTGGGCAACAAGAGTGAAATTCCATCTCAAAAAAAAACAACCCTGCAAAATACATAAGGATCACAAAAAGTATAAAGAACAGTTAAGTACCTGAGTACCCATCTGTAGAAGTCAGGCTTTGCTAACACAGGCAAAACTTAATAGAGCCCTCTGGGATCCCTTATCCCTCTTGTTACCCAGAGAGAGAAGCACTATCCTGTATTTGACAGAGCAGTTTGCTGATCTCCTCTACCTTTGCTTACTTTTTTGAGACAGGATCTCTGTCAACAGGCTGGAGTATGGTGATTCAGTCTTGGCTCACTGCAGCCTCCATCTTTCCAGGTTCAAGTGATCTTCCCACCTCAGCCTCCCAAGTATCTGAGACAACAGGCATGAGCCACCATGCCTAGCTAATTTTGAGATTTTTAGTAGAGATAGGGTTTCACCATGTTGCCCAGGCTGGTCTTAAACTCCTGAGCTCAAGCAATCTGCCCTCCTTGGCCTCCCAAAATGGTGGGATTACAAGTGTACACCACCTCACCTGCACTGACTTTACTTACTTAAATGGCAAGCTCCTGGAAGGCAGGCACTGTATTATTGACCTCTGTGCCCCTAGTACCTATCATGTGATGTCCAAGACCAGTGGTTCTCTCCTGTGGCTGCCTGTTAGAATTACCTGGGGGAATATATTATATTTAAAAATTACTGCTCAGGGCTAAGCGTGGTGGTTCACACCTGTAATCCCAGCACTTTGGGAGACCAAGGCAGGCAGATCATCTGAAGTCGGGAGTTTGAGACCAGTCTGACCAACATGGAGAAACCCCGTCTCTACTAAAAATACAAAAAACTTAGCCAGGAGTAGTAGCGCATGCCTGTGATCAAAGCTATCGGGAGGCTGAGGCAAGAGAATCGCTTGAACCCAGGAGGCGGAGGTTGCAGTGAGCTGAGATCCCACCTTGCACTCCAGCCTGGGCAACGAGCAAAACTCGGTCTCAAAAAAAAAAAAAAATTCCCAGGGTTCACAGATTACTGATTTGTTTGATGTGGTGTTGGGCATTGGTATGGTTAGCAGCTGTCCCAGGTGAATCCTGATTTGCAGGTAGAGATCTACTATTCCAGACTGTGTCAGGTTCCTTTGCTATAGTAAACTTTTTTTTTTTTTTTTTTTTTTTTTGAGATGGAGTCTCGCTGTATTGCTCAGGATGGAGTGCAGTGGTGTGATCTTGGCTCACTGCAACCTCTGCCTCCTGGGTTCAAGTGATTCTCCTGCCTCAGCCTCTTGAGTAGCTGGGATTATAGGCGCCTGCCACCACGCCTGGCTAATTTTTGTATTTTTAGCAGAGACAAGGTTTCACTGTGTTGGTCAGGCTGGTCTCAAACTCCTGACCTCAGGTGATTCAGCCAGCTTGGCCTCCCAAAGTGCTGGGACTACAGGCGTGAGC